CAAGGTATAGGATATACTAAAGTTATGGATATCCAAGGTGTAGGATATACTAAAGTTATGGATATCCAATGTATAGGATATACTAAAGTTATGGATATCCAAGGTATAGGATATACTAAAGTTATGGATATCCAATGTATAGGATATACTAAAGTTATGGATATCCAAGGTATAGGATATACTAAAGTTATGGATATCTGTACACTCTAAATACACAAGGTATCCAAGGTATAGGGTGTACTAAAGTTATGGATATCCAAGGTAAAGGATATACTAAAGTTATGAATATCCAAGGTATAGGATCTACTAAAGTTATGGATATCCAAGGTATAGGATATACTAAAGTTATGGATATTCAAGGTATAAGGTATACTAAAGATATGGATATCCAAGGTATAGGATCTATTAAAGTTATGGATATTCAAGGTATTGGATATACTAAAGTTATGGATATCCAAGGTATAAGATACACTAAAGTTATGGATATCCAAGGTATAGGGTATACTAAAGTTATGGATGTCCAAGGTATAGGGTATACTAAAGTTATGGATATCTAAGGCATTGGATATACTAAAGTTATGGATTTCCAAGGTATAGGATATACTAAAGTTATGGATATCCAAGGTATAGGATCTACTCAAGTTATGGATATCCAAGGTGTAGGATCTACTCAAGTTATGGATATCCAAGGTATTGGGTATACTAAAGTTATGGATATCCAAGGTATAGGATCTACTCAAGTTATGGATATCCAAGGTATAGGATCTACTCAAGTTATGGATATCCATTGTATAGAATATACTAAAGTTATGGATATCCAAGGTATAGGATATACTAAAGTTATTGATATCCAAGGTATAGGATATACTAAAGTTATGGATATTCAAGGTATAGGATATACTAAAGTTATGGATATTCAAGGTATAGGATATACTAAAGTTATGGATATTCAAGTTATAGGATCTACTAAAGTTATGGATATTCAAGGTAAAGGATATACTAAAGTTATGGATATCCAAGGTGTAGGATATACTAAAGTTATGGATATCCAATGTATAGGATATACTAAAGTTATGGATATCCAAGGTATAGGATATACTAAAGTTATGGTTATCTGTACACTCTAAATACACAAGGTATCCAAGGTATAGGGTATACTAAAGTTATGGATATCCAAGGTAAAGGATATACTAAAGTTATGGATATCCAAGGTATAGGATCTACTAAAGTTATGGATTTCCAAGGTATAGGATATACTAAAGTTATGGATATCCAAGGTATAGGATCTACTCAAGTTATGGATATCCAAGGTAAAGGGTTAAACTAAACTTTTAAATGAAAAATTTGAATGTTTAAATAAGAAACAAAGATACTCACAAAGATATCGTTTTTGAAGAATAGTGAGAAATAGGATGGCATACCATGTGGTTTAAGAGAAGGATAAGATGGTTTACCATGGTTTAAGAGAAGGATGGTTTACCATGGTTTAAGAGAAGGATGGTTTACCATAGTTTAAGAGAAGGATAGGATGGTTTACCATGGTTTAAGAGAAGGAGAGGATGGTTTACCATGGTTAAAGAGAAGTTTAAGGTGGTTTACCATTGTTTAAGAGAAGGATATGATAGTTTACCATGGTTTAACAGAAGGATAGGATGGCTTACTATGGTTTAAAAGAAGGATTTATGAAGGTTTACCATGGTTTAAGAGAAGGAGAGGATAGTTTACCTTCATTGTTTAAGAGAAGGATATGATAGTTTACCATGGTTTAACAGAAGGATAGGATGGCTTACTATGGTTTAAAAGAAGGATTTATGAAGGTTTACCATGGTTTAAGAGAAGGAGAGGATAGTTTACCTTAGTTTAAGAGAAGGATAAGATGGTTTACCATGGTTTAAGAGAACGATATGATGGTTTACCATGGTTTAAGCAACAAGCTATATTTTCTTTACAACAACATTTACAAGCTAAATTTCCTTTACAACAACATTTACAAGCTATATTTCAGACATGAGAGCAAATTCAATGTTCATATCTTTATTGAGTTAGTTTCATTTTTTGTGGATAACACAGTTTAACAATTCTTAGTTGAGCTGGTTAACTTAGTTAATGATAGTCTTCAGACAAAGCTGAGTTCTCAAGCTTATATAGACTTTATTCTTTTCTTGAATCAATTAAGAAATACTGATTTTAGGTTACAATATACAGATTAAAACAAAGGATTAAAAGTTTGTGACGCACTTAAAACACATGTTTACAAATTTATTTAAGTACATTTGTACATATTGTTATAATCTAAAAAGTTAAATTAGGCCTGGTTATCTATGCAACCCTTTAAACATATTTCTAACGGAAATTTACTTAATCAATTGACATTTTTAGATATTGATCAATTTAATACGCTTAAATTTATGATTATTTTGGACAATTTTTAAAAACATTTATAAGTTATCATACTGCACAGAAAAGGACCAATGCCTGTGAATTTTATATGATATATTAGGTTGTGTTAAATCAAATAGTTGTACTGGTCGCATGAAAACTATTAAGTAAAACATGGATCTGTGTACGTTGCACAATTGCCGTGTTTCGAGTTCGTCGGGCTCAAAGACGCTAGAATAGAAGAATAAGGAATGTGTACGCTCTGTACACTTTTATATGACATCATTGGCTACAGTATTGGTTTTGATTTTTAAATTCTAACAATCAACATTAAAACTCTAGTTATCAAATAATTTAATCAGTGTAATTGCTGAAAATGGTGGATAAATAACAACACGGTTATAAACTTCGAAATTTGTTTTAATCAGTTATAGGATAAAATAAAGCAAAAATTGTGTTTTTGTTACGAATCTCATTTGTATGAAAAATACCACATTTTTTAAACCAAAATTTGTTAGATGCCATTAAGTATAGTTTTGTAATAGTCTTAAGTAGAATTTTAGGCCAGTAACTTGAGCAAGGCCCGAAAAAACCTTGGTTTTAAGTAGCCAAATTTTTTTTAACTAATTACATTGCAATCTGTTTTAAGATAAAGTTTATCTAAAAAGATATTAAAGTTT